CTGCTGCTGCTTCTAAACACCGGCTACTTCCTCCCTCCACCCAAGTGCAGCTACTGCTGCTGATATGGCGGAGAAGACAGGGAACGCAAGCCTGAGGCTTGCTGTTGCTGCTGTGGCTTTTGTTTGGAGAAGCTGTCAAAGGAAATAGGCGCGGTAGGCTGTTTTGGGTGCGGCAAGGGGAGCAGATACAGCAGTTGCTGTTTTGTGTGCTGCAAGGAGAATGAAGACACAGCTGTTGCTGTTTGGCCGTGACGATGCAGKGGAACACAGCAGCTTGTTGTTCGGCGTGCTGCAGGGGGATGAAGACACAGCTGCGGCAGCTTTGGGTGCGGCAAAGGAGCAAACACAGCAGTTTGMTGTTTCTTCTTCGATCTAAATGCAGCTCCAGCCCCTTTTTCCTTTCCTTCCTCTCCTCTCTAAATCCTCTCTAGCAAAAGGCCCTTTTTTCCCCAAATTAACAGCCGGCTAGCACCAGAAGTAAGGAGGTGGTGTCCTTCCCAAGAAGGAAAGTCCAAAGGTATGGGTCTAAACACAATGGGTAACACCCCCCTTCTTACTGCTACTAAAACCCCCTAGCCCTAAATCCTACTAGGTAAATGACAAAAGWCTTCCACATCAAAGAAAGGATTAAATAAGATATAAAGATACAAAATCCTAATATATAAAGCACACATAAATAATACATATAAATATAAATAGAGACGTATATCTTGCAAACGGGGCGGAAGAATTCTCGACGAAAAAGAAATGGAGAATGAGGGCGAAGAAGAAATTCCAAGGTGTTACACCATTGCAAAACAAATGCTCGACGCGACTACAGGCGGAGCCTTTACAGCCAGTACCTATAATGAGGGAGATGAAATCCTGGAAAAGATATCAGCAAACAATAGGCATTGGGCCGACCCACATGCCTAACCACATAAAAAGACTACCGGAATACATGAGGTAGATGCATATACTGCATTAACAACTCAGCTCACCTCCATGACCAACTTGTTGAAAAATTTAACTTCTGGTCAGGGAGTACATCAAGCTGCTAACACATCTGTTCCAACAGTCCTATCTCTGCAATGTGTGTGCTGTGGTGGGGATCATTCATATGAACATTATACCCATAATTCTGAATCAGTAAATTATGTTCAAAACAGATCTAATCCCTACTCTAACACATATAATGTCAGTTGGAGACAGCACCCGAACTTTTCTTGGAATTGTCCTAGTTTAAATCCTACAGTCCATAAGCAACCGGGAACTTCTAATTTCCAACCACAACATCATGCAAACAATTCTAACTCTCAGAACCACCAACAAAGTTTTCAGAATTCTCTACCACATTTTTAGAACAAACCTCCTCCACAGGCATAATCATCATCTTCTTTGGAAGCGATGATAAAAGGGCTTTTAGCACATGCTCAAGCCCAAATCAAGCTTTGATTAATCAACAAAGTGCTGCCATCAGGAATTTAGAGACTCAGGTTAGTCAACTTGCACTTAACTAGAGTAGTCGAGCCTTTGGTACCTTGCCCAGTAATACAGAAGTCCCTAGAGATCTAGGAAATGAACATGTGAAAGTAATAGTATGCCAAGATAGTATGCCAAGACTATCAGAAACTAATAATCCAGTATCAGTCCTTGTCAAAGAAGGACCGGTCCCACCTTTAGAAAAGCAAGCATCTGAGACCACCACTCTTGTTCCCCTAGATCAGACTTCCCTTTACTTTTTCTAGATGATGCTCTAAAGAAATCAGAAGGGACTGAGGTTGTAGAGACCCCTAAGCTTGATACTAAGATTCCACCAAAACCACCAAAGAGCACCACAAAGACTCAAGGCATTCAAGATCCATCTTGCTCAACACCTCTAAGCAACAATGTGATAAAACCAGTCCCTCCTTATGTTCCTTACCCCCAGAGGTTGAGGAATCAGAAAGAGGAATTGCATTTTAAAAAGTTCTTGGATGTGTTCAAAGAATTGCACATCAACATACCCCTTGTTGAGGCAATTAAGCAAATGCCTAGTTATGCTAAGTTTCTGAAGGACATCCTAAGCAAGAAGAAGAATTTGACTAAGTATGAGACTGTAGCTCTTACCGAAGGATGTAGTGCACTTTTGACCAATAGCATACCCCCTAAGTTTAAAGATCCAGGGAGTTTTACCATTCTTTGTTCAATAGGTGGGAAGGAGATAGGGAAAGCCTTATGTGACTTAGGTACTAGTATCAACCTCATGTCTTTGTCTGTCTTTAACACCTTAGGCATAGGAGAGGCTAGACCTACCACAGTTACACTCCATTTGGCAAATAAATCAATTGCATACCCTAAGGGAAAGATTGAAGATGTGTTGGTACAGGTTGATAAGTTCATATTTTCGACAGACTTTATCATACTAGACTTTGAGGCTGATAAGAACATTCTGATTATTTTAGGGAGACCTTTCTTAGCCACCGGAAGAACTTTGATAGATGTGCAGAAAGGAGAATTGACCATGAGGCTTCAAGACCAAAAGGTCACATTTAATGTCTTCAACTCCTTAAAATATCTTGATTATCTGGAAGAGTGTTCAAGCATAGCTGAAATAGAAGAAGAGGTTGTCGAGGAAGGAATTCAAGAAAACCTTATGTTGGAAGAAGAGAGTGTAGAGGAATTAGAAGAAGAGACTATTGAGGAAGGAAAGGCATTAGGAATTCATTCTATGCCAGTAGAAGTGTCAGCTTTTTAACTTTTGGAAAATAATGAGCAAAAAGACTTCACCCCGTCCATTGTGTCACCACCTGACCTGGAGTTAAAGCAACTCCCATCCCATTTGCAATATGCTTTTCTAGGAGAAGAAGGCAAATTGCTTGTCATTATCTCATCTACCCTAGACTTGCATCAAGAGAAGAAACTAGTGGATATGTTGAAAATGCACAAAAAGGCTTTAAGATGGACCATTGCTGACCTTAAGGGGATTAGTCCCTCAATTTGTCAACATAAGATCATCTTAGAGGATAAAAATTTCACATCCATAGAACCTCAAAGAAGACTGAATCCTATCATGAAAGAGGTAGTAAAAAAGGAGATTTTAAAATGGTTAGAAGCAGGAATTATCTTCCCGATAGCCTATAGTTCTTGGGTCAGCCCGGTCTAGTGTGTTCCCAAGAAAGGAGGGTTCACAGCCATCACAAATGAGAAAAATGAACTTATCCCGACCAGAGTTGTATCCGGTTGGAGAATATGCATGGACTATAGGAGGCTAAACAAGGCTACTCATAAAGACCATTTTCTGCTACCTTTCATTGATCAAATGTTGGACAGATTAGCCGGCAAAGAGTACTGTTGTTTCTTAGATGGCTATTCAGGTTATAATCAGATAGCTATTTCTCCCGAGGACCAAGAAAAAACCACCTTCACCTGTCCTTATGGCACTTTTGCTTTCAGAAGGATGCCATTTGGACTGTGTAATGCTCCTGCCACCTTTCAGAGGTGTATGATGTCCATATTCTCTGATATGCTTGAAAAATCCATTGAAATTTTTATGGATGATTTCTCTGTATATGGTTAATCTTTTGACAACTGTTTGGACAATTTAAAAAAGAGACTTGAGAGGTGTGAGGAAACTGATTTGGTCCTCAACTGGGAGAAATGTCACTTCATGGTTAAGGAATGAATTGTTCTGGGGCACTTAATCTCTAAAAAAGGAGTGGAGGTAGATAAAGAAAAACTCGAAGTTATTGAAAAACTACCAGAACCTACCACTGTTAAAGGAATCATGAGTTTTTTTGGGTCATGCAGGATTTTACAGAAGGTTCATAAAGGATTTTTCAAAAATTTCAAAATCTTTATGTTACTCCTACAACATGACCAAAAATTTGATTTTAATGATGAATGTAGAAATGCATTCAAAACTTTGAAGAAAGCTTTGATTACTTCACCAGTGGTAGTTGTTCCGGATTAGAACAAACCTTTCGAGATTATGTGTGATGCTAGCGATTGGTCGGTTGGTGCTGTTTTAGGTCAGAGAAGAGAGAAGGTGTTTCATTCAATTTATTACACAAGTAAAATTTTGAATGAAGAACAGATAAATTACACCACTACGAAAAAAGAATTATTGGCCGTAGTATTTGCATTTGAGAGATTTAGATCATACTTGATGGGGACTAAGGTAATTGTGCATACCGATCATGCAGCCATCAAATATTTGATCTCAAAGAAGAATGCAAAGCCTAGGTTGATAAGGTGGGTGTTGCTATTGCAGGAATTTGCTATTGTAGGTTCAAATGATAGAGTTGAATTAAAAACTTTAAAATAATATAACGAACAATTTATTATTTGTTTTAGTTTGTTGTAATTAAAACTGAATATATGATAACCTTTTTATATTAACTAAACTTGATTATATGATTATAAGTAAAATAAAATAAAATAAACTTATATATAAAGAAGTTACATGTTAAGGTATTGCTGTAAATTCATGAGAATGTGATATATTCAAAGACGGAGGTAAGTTTGTGAAAGAATGAAAAAATAAATTTGAATAAATCATCAACCAATGTCACTATCAATCTATATATCTATTAAAAGAAGAACCATGAGTATTTGAGGTGGCATCATGAGAATTGGGTATTGAGGTGTTGGTGAATTATGGTTGAGTTTGAGATATCCCACATTGGTGAAGAGTTGAAAATTTTGAACAAAATGAAGTGTATAAGAAAGGTGGATTGGATGCCTTTGTGTCATATAATGGGGTTTGCCTAATAGGGTTGTCTTTATTTGGATGATTCTCTTTGAAATCTATAACCATGGTTGGAAATCAAACAAACCAAATGGTAGAAATTATAGTGCAAAGTTAATTATATTATATATATATAAGTAAAACCTTGAGGTGATGAGGTGGCACCATGACAATTATAAAAGTAAAACCTTGGGGTGATGAGATATCCCACATTGATGAAGAGTTGAAAGATTTGAACAAAATAAAGTGTATAAGAAAGGTGGATTGGATACCTCTGTATCATATAATGAGGTTTGCCTAATAAGGTTATCTTTATTTGGATGACCCTCTTTGAAAACTATAACCATGGTTGGAAACCAAACAAACCAAATGGTAGAAATTATAGTGCAAAATTAATTATATTATTTATATATATATATATATATATATATGTGTGTGTGTGTGTGTGTGTGTGAGTGAGTAAAACCTTGGGGTGATGAGGTGATACCATGACATTATAAAAGTAAAACCTTGGGATGATGAGGTAACACAATGAGAATTGTGTATTCTCAAATGGTGAATTGTGGTTGAGTTTTTGTTGTCCCACATTGGTAAAGAGTTGGAAGATTTCAACAACATAAAGTGTATAAAAAGATGGATTGGTGTTTTTGCGTCGATTCATGGGGTTTGTCTCATAGGGTTTATCTTTCTTTGGATGACCCTCTTTGAAATATATAACCATGATTGGGATGAAAACCAACCAAATAGAAAAAAAAAACTTTTTCTTTATACATATAAAAGAAAACCTTGGGGTATTGAGATGACACAATGAGAATTGAGTATTCTCATATGGTGAATTGTGGTTGAGTTTTAGTTTTCCCACATTGATGAAGAGTTGAAAGATTTGAACAAAGTGAAATGTATATGAAAGGTGGATTAGATGTCTTCGTTGCCTCATAAGGTTGTCTTATTTTGGATGACCGTATTTGAAATCTACACCATGCTTGGAATCAAAACCAACTTAATGGTAAAAATTACAGGGCAAATATAAAAGTGAAACCAAGGATGATGACTTGGTAACATGATGTTTGAGTGTTCCTCAAATCTGAAATAAGGTTGACTTTCATCATCTCATATTGGTAGATAGATGATAGTTTGAAAGAAAATGATGGATGTGTAAATGCGTGATAGAGCTTTGAAATCTATAGCCATGGTTGAAATTAAAACCAACCAATTGGTAAAAGATTTGTGCAAAATGTTGGGTCACTTATTGATTTGGTGATGACCCACTGATATGTTCCTCTACCTTAGCAACACTTAGTAGTTATTGGTTCTTTGTAAGTTGGTGTCTTGGTACATACTTAAAGCCATTGGCAAAATCGAAGACTAGCCGATGTGAAGACAGAAGGTCACCGATGCGGTGTTGTGGATCAACTGTCTAATATACACACCAAGACTCCGAAGTAGCTGAAATGCCACTTGACACCTATCGTAATGATAAACGGCTCGTCTCGCCGCCATTTTCATTGTTACTGTTCCGGCTGTTAAAATAAGGTCGTCTTATTCAAAACCCCAATTATGACATTTCCAGATATATTACTCAAAAGAACCGGATGGAATTTCAATGAATTAGATTGAAAATATTTTGAAGCTACAAGCCGATTGA